AAGTCTTAAGCAGTGTTGGGAAAGTTCTCTTTCTACGTGAACTAGTTCAAAGTTCAGTTGACACATTTTAAAATGAACTAGTTCAGTTCATAGTTCATAATTCAAAACCAAAAAATGAACTAGTTCATAGTTCTTTTTTTTTTTTTTTTTATATTGCTCAATTACACCATAGCCTACTGTAGAACCACAGACAGCAATTATTTTATCAGTTATAACTCTGAAACTGTGCGTCAGATTTCATCTTCCTATCCAGTTTTGAATCCTTATCCAACCAGGGTTTACATTAGCATTGAGGGGACAGATTTCCCCATTGTTGCTTTAACGCTTTGTTGCTGTCCATTCACTTCACACTAGTAGCAGCTGCAGCTTTCACCCCTACAGTATATTCTCAAAAACATCAGGAAAAATGTGCTGCTTGAATGGTCTTTTTTATGAGTAATTATTAAAAGAAAAATAGGAAAGTAGTCTTTAAGGTGCAAATGTTTTTTTTTTATTTTAATAATTTTTTCCATTTGAAATTCCATTTCAATACATACTAAAAAGGAATACTGGAATCCTGGAAAATTATACCTGGCAGGTTTAACAAACAAGTTACAAGGATAGTAAAACCCTCAAGAACAGGGGTCTTCTATGTTTTCCAGACCAAGGACCCCCAAACTGATGGTGAGATGGAGCGGGGACCCCCTAACTATATATATTGTATGAAATTGTGTCCTATAGTCACTCTATTACAGATGGAGTAATGTAAAGAAATTAATTTCTCCCTGGGATTATTAAAGTTTTTTCTGATTCTGATTCCTGGTTGTTGTGAAGGAAACGGTGCCCATCTTGAAAGAGCTCCTGTGTGTCGCTGAATGTGTGCATTGATGACTGAAAGACATCTTTTGTCTCCATTTATCTGTTTACTACAGTGTGTTGATTTCATGTTAATGGGTATTTAAAGACATTTCAATTAGTGGGGGAAAAAATTGCAGGGGGGGAATATAAAAATATCAACTAACCATGCAGACCCTCATGCAGTACCTCCGTAGACCCCCTAGGGGTCGCGGATCCCCTGTTGAAGACCTCCGCTCAAGAAGATTTTACTAACACAAACTGAGGGACCAGGCTGAGGTAGGAATTTAAGGTTACTGAAGTGCGGATTTTTTTACTGAAAGCCGGCGGGCAAACTTGTTGCCATCGTCCTCACCGACCACCTGGTCATAAACCTGTTTTAAGTGATCATACTGCTGCTTTGTCGCCTCCACGGTAGCCTCCATGCTGCTATGGCTTCCAAGCTGCATTTTGTTTTGATGACGCACGCGGCTGTAGGCTACGACGCTGGTAGCTGGTGTTGCCAGATTGGGTGTTTTTCCCGCTACATATTAAGGCCTATTTACGGTGTGATTTAGCCGGGGTTTCGCCTGGAGGGCTCTATAGAAATCTGGCAACCTATTGAACGGAGCTGAACTGAGAGAGCGTATCGTTCACAGACACCAGAATGAACGAGTTCACAATAACGTTCACCAGGCAGTAATGCAGTACGTTCAGTTCACGTTCGCCCAAAATATGAACGAGTTCATGAACTTTCGTTCAATGAACGCGTTCAGGCACAACACTGGTCTTAAGTCTATAAAATCTTAGTTACTGTACTTAAAGCTACAGTGTGTAATTTTTAGCGACATCTAGCGGTCAGACTGCAGACCGCAGCAACATGAACATCTCCCCCCCACCGCTTCTCCCCCCCAACAGTACGGCGAGCGTTACGGGACAAAATGTCTTCCATGACGTCCGCATCACCTACCTTCTCAAGTGATGAGGTTTGTTTACATAGATAATTTTACAGATAGTATTCTCAGGCATAATATTGCCATCTATTGTTCAGTACCGTCTCAGTTCATCTCTCTCAACTTGCCGTAGTTACTTTCGAGCGTAATGGGCGATCTCGCAATCGCTAGTTTGTTGGCTCTGCGCTGCCGTAGCGCAAAGATGTCTGCCTCCATGGCTGCGAGACCCGCTCCTATGTAATTATAAATAACGAATTCTAAGGCAACGCAAATATTAAGGTTAAGAGGCTGAGCTCGTAGATGATGATAAATAACATAGTTATGTATAATATATTACATTTCTGACTGTATATCCCTGTAATTATTACACACTGTAGCTTTAAGTAAACTTTTTAGGTATATATGCTTTACTTCATTACTTATTTTTCTTCCTACTTCTGACTGCTGCTCATTACATTTTCACACAAGTATCTGTACTTTCAATTCCTAGTGTAGTGTAATTGGATGAGTCATATAATGCAAATAATCATCGCTTATCAATTTGTCAAATTGTGCTGACACCAAAGGAAATCATCAGAAGCAAACAGGTGTTCTTCCAACTGAAAAAGGTGAATTGTCTATGCCATGCTACGATGTTCGGATTCAGAGAAAGATGTCAAAATGTCTGAAAGGTCGGACACAGGCGAGAGCGTATCGGGAGATGGAGACCAACTTTTCCAAATAGTTGAAAAATTGAGTTTTCAATTCATATAGTGGCATCTGGCTGTTTTTTTTTTTAAGGTTACTTTATACTTTTATACTTCAGTAGTTTTTGGAGTACATACTTTTTTCTAAACTGCAGTATCTATACTTCTGCTTAAGTAACAAATGTGCTTTAACACATCTTTACCTTAACAGGAGGGATGTCTGGTTCTGCTTTCATTTCCATCCAATGACTGTCAATGTTGTCTAATTATGACAAATTCCCAAAAGAACAAAGTTATCTTTCTCCTCTGCTCGGTCAATTTCTTTCAGCCAATGACTTGTAGCGCACAGCAACAAGTGGGGGAGGGGGACAAAGATTTAAGCTCCACCCACTCAGCATCTAATTAAACAGATGTTTAACTGGATTTACTGACTACTGAGGAATTAACAATAGCTTCCTGTCAGCCTCAGCATTAACACACAAGTCAATTAAACTACCGTCATCCCCTCTTTACTTTCTTTTTGATAGACATTAGCTTTTAATTTGATTCATCTCTGTAGATTATTCATACTCCAGCGTGCATTTGCTTCATTCTATCATTGAGTTCCATTTTTATAAGCTGCCCTCCCGAATGAGCCTTTGTAATGTAATTTCTTGCATCACTGCCAACTTCAATATCAGAGAATATTGTCTCATCAAAAGAGCTCAACGACAGATTTGCTCTCAAATAACACAGCAGCATGAAGACACACTCACAAGACAGAGAAGAGTATCTAAAAATCAGAAATAGAACAACTAGACGGTCAAAATACTTTGCTTTACTACTATGAAAACTATTTTAAAACCTTGATTTGTTCCAAATAACAAAACCAAGCTAAGAAAGAAAGCAGGAAGAAGATACTTATGGTCCTGAAGGGGGCCACAATGAGCCACTGATGAGAACTCCTCAGCTTTCACTCCTTTTAAACACAGCTGCCTCATTCAAGAGCGAGGAGGAAAAAAGGAAAACAATGTGAGGAAGAAAAGCCTTTACGCTGAAATAAAAAGTGATGCTGCAGGAGCCATGTGGGGATCAGGCTGGTGTGCCGGTGTCAGCATGAGAACAACGGCATCTGACTGTGTCATCTTCAGGAGATCAGGGGATTACACATCCATGGGGCTGAGCCTGCTTTGTTGTCACTCTTTCTCAATTAAAGAGCCCAGGGACGGGAGGAAGTTTGCAAGTTTGGCAACAATAAAACAAGTCGGATTAACTAAGTTATGTTGGATTTTAATCTTTATCAATAATTAAAATCAGAGCACTGCTTCCTTAAAATCCTCCTCTGGCTCGCCTTCATCTGATTCGCTCATATTCATCCCATTTTAATAAAAAAAAAAAAAAAAAAAAGCTAAGGGCACCAAGGTTAATTTGGAGAGTGGCGTCCCTGAGCAGCCACTTGAAGATGCAAAGCGTAATAATAAGATGAGAAAACGGTTAAAATCGCAATTAAGCTTCAATTTGATGTCACAGAGAGATAAAGTGACGCTTCCTTACACCGTCCTGTGAGTTTTGAACTGTTCTTTGTTCTGTCGGCGGCTGAGTTGTGTGGTGTAGGGGCAGGCTGTGCCATTTGACCTACTTACTGGACTAAAGGAGAGATTAACAGCAACTCCACACTCCCACGACAAGGTTAAGACTACACACACACACACACACATGGAAAAGTGGTGGCTGGGTGCCCTCTGCATCACCTCTTGTACAACAAAATTAAAAACGCAAAACAAGGCAGAAGAGTGCATTAAAAAAAGCGAAAGGCAGGGCTGGACTCAGAATAGTCAGCTGTTATATCCTGCAGCCGTTTGCAGTGACGTCACGATGGAGGGGATTAAGATAGCAACAGATGTACAACTACTAGCTGCCTTTGGCTGCCACTGTGCATGCTTTTATTCATTATAATCAAAATGAAATCGCTTGAGCAGGATAAAAAAAGATACATAACCAAGAAGAACCTGTTCTATACCACTACCATCAGATTTAACACCACCTGGACTAACTCCCCGCAGCACTGAGGCTGTGGATTCTAAAAAACACAGCAAATAAACAGTGTTGTGGCAATAATGACTGTCCAAACTGGATGCAGGGTTTGCCTTTTAATTAAATGTATTATACTTTAGTGATATAATTGACCCTTTGGGGTGCAATGTTAAATACATTGCTATAGTAAGTCACCTAGTAGAGCAGGCTTCAACATGGGGTAGTGAAGAAAACAGTTCTGCATGCTTAAGTACTAATTAACACCAGGATATTCACGTGACAGCTACAGGAGATATGTTGTCACAGAATTAATGAGGCCGGTAATGAACAGAAGAGACACGCTTGGTTAAATTATGAGTATAAGCCAGGTCCCAGTAAAATTAATATTAGTCTTAAACAGAAATGATCTGACAGGTAACCTCACATGAAAGGTGTAAATATATGCAGAGGAGACTTAAAGGACATAAATCAGCCGTCGACAAAGACCAGGGATATACTGGGAAATAATAGCATTGAAAGAGAGAGAGAGACTTACAGGGTACGGCTCGAAGGTAGAGGTTCTCTCTGATGACCTGCTGAAGCTGGCTGTCTACGGAGCCGGGTGTGAAGCACTTACTCAGATATAACCTGAGATCTTTGCACAATGTGGAGCCTGAGGGGAGCGCAAACAAAACAAGAAGGGCATGAAGGGGAGGAACTGGGAGAAAAGGAGCAGAGGGAGCAAATAGAAACTGGATACTCCAATTGGGAACGAGGTGGTACGAGATTCTCACAGTATGATAGCCTAGAATATCACACAAATAACAAAATTAACACCAAAAGACGGCATGAGATGTTTATGGAAGTTGGATTTAACACTTTTTTTTTCTTCACACAAAGATGTTATCTCCAAAGCAACATAAACACCAAATACATTTTGCAATAATTCTCAAGCTAACTTGCTAGTTAAGAAGATTTTTTGCTAATCTGCTTTTTCTAAAACGACAAAAGATTAACAGCTGCATGTTTGCTACTCAAGTTCATCACAGACAAAAAATGTAACCGATTGCTTTTCAACAATGATTATCATGTCTGGAAAACTCTACTTTTTAGAAAAGTGTTAAATAACATGATTATTCTCTATTTTTTTCTGTTTTATATGCTAGGGAAAAGAAAAGTATTTTTTTAGCTAGCTCCACAGTAACAGGTAGGGAAGGGGAAGCCGAATCTCTCTGCTAATTTAAATTTGCACTTTTTATTTTTTAATAATTTGGATCTCTAGAAAGCATATAACAGAAAGGCATCCCCACAGCATAGTGCTGTCGGGTTCATAAATAGGTTTTTTCTTAAGAAGAACTAAAATACAGACTTATCGATACAATTCCTGCAGGAAGGAGGGACAGTTGAACCCCAGACTCAAACATACTGTCTCCCACTGGACCTCCTCTGCAGAGCGTTTATTAACAGAACATGACGCATGGTTACAAACAGAGTATTGTTCTGACAGAACAATTGACGGTTCATGAAGACAGAATGCTCCTGACTGAATCATGAGACAGGAGTGGAGCATCCCCTTGCAAAAATGTTTCATAAGCACACATTAATTTTATAATCATCATTGAATAAACCTAACAAATGCCGCCAATGTCTTGTTGCAAAATAGGGATCATGTTTTATTTATTTTTTTCATAAATCTCAAGCTTTTAATTATTTAATAAGGGTATTTTTCCATGCTCAGCTCAAATCATTACACCCGTTAGGTTTGATTTAAATGCAAGGCTTTATAACCTCAACCCTGATACCAACGTCAACTCATAAGTTCACATTAATTTCCATACAACCTGAGTATGAACTCAGTCCAAAACATCCCTCTTGTATAAAAATAGAGCATACGGGGGTTAATGGAGTAGGAGTGGATCAGCAGGACTACTCTTCCTTTCCGTGATCTCTTAATAACATCGCAAGTGCTTTATGGCATTTGATGACAGGCTGCTTCCTGTTATTGATGGGCTGAACACGTCTTCACTTGTCACCCTAACAGACGACAACTCTGTCAGTGTGCTACCCCTGCAGACCCCTGACACCTCTGCACAACTTAGCTCAACCCAATGGAAAACGGATTTTAATGCATGGTTCAAAAATATCAAAGGATTTAACTTTATGTTTGGCGGTCAGCAGCTTGTAAGTATGAATGGTCACATATGGCTACTGCCTGTAAAAGGAAATATAATCTCGTCTGTTGCCTTTAGGGAGAAATGGGCTTTTGTTCAACGCGTTACAAAAACAGCTGATGTTTTCATCAGCTGATGTTTTTTTGTATGTTCAAGCCTGAAAATGTGCTCTTTGACTTGGTTAGCCAGCAGTGGATTACAGTGCCATGAGAAATGACATATTTTGTCACATTGACTGATGACAAATGATTTTCTACATTTTATTTAAGAATGCAAATTTAGAAAGTGTGTTTTACATTTGGATATTAGATCCTTTATTCAAAATCCCTTTAAAAAAAGTTTAAGTGCCAAAATATGAAGAGATTAAAGGGGCAAGAATGGGTGCACAGCATTAACCACGTATGACAAGTTAAAAAATTTAGCACAGAAGTGACAGTCACTATGTGAAGAAGGGCGTCTGGAGCACTTTTGTTGTCTCTTCTCAAATTTCTTAGTTTATGACTATCGAGGCACCGCCGCTATTTGTGTTTCCTGCATCTGGGGAACAAACCTTGGTGTCCTGTGTTTGAAAGCCGGGGCAGTGGGAGTTGTTGTAGTAGTGGTTCTAAAAGAGAGCGGGAGAAGGAGGTGTGCCACAGCAACCCAGAACACCAACACATCCATCACTGTCCAGGCTGCATGCAGTCAAGCTGCCCAGGGATGGCTGGGAAGAATTCACAGCTGATAATGGATCTCTACCAGCAGCAGAGCTACCAGGAGCAAAGGTCCCCATTTATACCCTTGTTGCCAAATCAGCTATCAATCAAACAAGCCAAGGCCGTGGGGAGCCACGGTCAGGTGACACTTCTTCAGTGACTGATCACCCTGTTCAGAGCCAACAAAGATATCTACGTCTCAAACCCCCAACTCACAACATCAAGGCCTGTTGCGGTTGACGGAAAACCATATCACAAACTCTTTTGTCATGTGTCATTGGTGATCATGGAGACAACCCAAATATCGACCAGCTTCCTTGACATGCACATTCAAACACAGACTTATTGACAGTTCAGTGCTAAATAATTACACGCCGCAGATTTGGCTGTTGGTTTTGTGAATGGATGACAGCCTCAGTGTAACAGATCGATTCATTTTTTAAGAAAAGTCTTTTAATTTATAACTTTGACAAATTCTAATCTGGATGTCTCAAGATCAGTTTCCTAATGACAACAAGATTCTTGATACATGCCATTTTATACACCAGTCATTTACAGAATCTGCCAATTCCATGATTCTATTGAATTGATTGGTATTTCTTATCAGACTGATTTCTATCAGCTGGCATCACAGGAACAACTGTTTCAGATTGCAGTGTATTATTACAAGGTTAAGGATAATGTTATTATATTTAACAAATATGGTATTTGATCAAGATATGACCATATGATAATAATATTCTGATTTAAAATAATCCAAGATAAATGGGGGCTGAATTTGATTTGTTATATCATATAATTTGTTTAGAGATAACATCTGTTATAATTTAGTGATATAAACATATAAACTCAACTCATTTTAATTCTGTTTTATACAGTATATAGAGATGGGTGTTGCAGAATCATCATAGTTCAATTTTTCTTATTTTGAAAAAAAATTTCAAAATGAGGCAAATAATAAAAAATAAACAAAGACTTTTATTTATTATTTAGTTTATCTTTTTGAATAAGTTATTATATTGCTTTATGGATGAATGAATGAATGAATGAATGAATGAATGAATGAATGAATGAATGAATGAATGAAAAGTTTTATTTCTAAAGAATGAAGATAAAAAAAAGGAAAAGATGTAACAAAAAAGTTTAAAGACCCCCCCCCCCCAAAAAAAAGTAAAAAGTATAAATCTTTAGGAGTTCCCACCTTTCATGTCATCCATCTATCCGTCTATCCATCTATCCATCTATCCATCTATCTATAACACTCACAAAACCAATAGTAGCACTTTGTGGAAATAGGTTAAATTACAGTTTACTGCATACAGTATAATAAGTGTTTTGTGTATTTTTGATCTCATAAACACAGTTTTGGTTTAGAGAAATAACCAAAAATTGTAAATAATACAAAAATTTCTTCAAATCATGTAACATTTTAAACTAATGGACTGAATTTATTTAGTGCTTCTCTAATCACAACGACCAATTAAATAATCTATAACTAGATCTGCATTCAGCCAATACTGGTAAAAACCTTCATAGATCCATAAAAATAAACATGGATCGCAAGGAAACTTGGTGGTGCCTTGCTCATGGGCACATCAACATTCGATAGAAGGAAGCAGGAATCAGAAACAGAAGTTTTGGATGTTAACACAGCTACTCTACACACTAAGACAGCCATAAAATGTTGGATTCTTCTTTAAATGATCAAAATGGTACCTCAAAAATAATCAAAAACTTTTCAAGTCTAACCTTTTTTTTTAGGAAAAGAAACTTTCTTACTATACTGTATATAAATTAGTTTGCATTGATCAGAAACCTTCACCCTAAAGCAATGCTTAGACAAATTTTTTTTTACATGCTATGACTTATATTTTCTTCAGTTCTAAAATAAATTAACATTTAAATCTTTTGATGAGATTGTCAGAAAAATGCAAAAAGTCCACAAGTTATCAAAACAAACGTCATACCTGGTGAAACAGTTTTGATTCGGACAGGATGGGGGCACGAGTTTAGGACTCCTCGGACATCACCTAAAGTCATCCCCAATACAGGTGTTCCCCCGATCTCTAGGATGACATCTCCCACTGTGATGCCGCCGCCCGGAGCCGATGTGACAAAAGGAAACTCTCCATAATCTGCTCCGCCACCTATCGCGACCCCCACCTCTCCTGATTCCCCAAGCAGAAGGACAAAGGTGTCCTGCACATTGGACCGCCAGTGCAGCTTCTTCACCGCTGTCTTAGACATGGCAAATGAGCTGGAGAGGAAAAAGAAAACAGGTTAGCAGAACGTGTCAGACCGTCGATTACATAACAAGGAAAGGAAAAGAAGTTGTGATTTTCAGTAATGTAACCTGTGTCAGCACCTTCTGCTGTGGGAGTTGGACCATTTCACATCAGAAGGTGCAAAAGTCATGGATAATTCCACCGTCTTATGTGTTCTAGCTAAATGGGTGGCAACTTGAAATTCAGGAATAACATCACATGGAAACTGCAGCTTTGTTTTATGCAAACATATAACGGCCTCAAGAACATGCAACGCCGCCACCAGAATCAGATCCTCATGTTCACAGTGTCAGCTGTAGACTGACGTTATGTTTACATGTAAACACGGTAGGAACCGGTTCACATTCCAGCGTATTTACAAATCTACGCACACACATTTCCACCAGCAGACTAAGATATTTCACACTCTAATATCATTCAAATTGCTAAAAAAAATTTTGCACAAAAATGTAGAAGCATAAAAAATTAAGTAAATCATAAAATGAAAATAAAGCAATGAGATTTGTAAAAGAAAAAGATGCCCTGAGAAGTAAGCAGGAGGCTAAAGTTGCCTACAAATTATAATTATTTTCTGATTGGAGAGACACGCCTTAAACAAGTAGCAATATTTCACACTCTTCAGTGTGGAAGGTTTATCGCAGGAAGGAGGGTAAAACTCAGTTATTTTCAGTATCATTACATTGTAGGGATGTAAACCCTGTGATGATAATAGTTCTTAAAGCTGGGACTTTAAAGTAAATGAGTTCAAACCAAGCAATTGGTCACCTGTTATGGTATCTGTGCTCGTAAACAGGACAGGTACACTGGAAAAAAAATCTAGAAATAAGTAAAAATGTCTTAAATTAACTGTATTTACCCTTAATTTGAGTAGGTAAATTAGATAGTTTGCCAATGGAATGAGTATTTTTCCTGTTAAAATAAGATAATTAGATAAAATGCACTTGAAATAAGACAATGCAATTATGTTTTCTTATTTTAAGTGTAAATTGTCTTGTTCCATTGGCAAAATGTCTCTTTTACCTCCTCAATCCAAGAAAAATTCACTAATTTTAAGAAAAAATTACTTATGTAGATTTAGATTTTTTCCAGTGTAGGTGGTAGCAGAGCACACAAGCACGGCAGATGGAGGAAAACATTAAGGACACATTGATAATCAAAAGGAAAGATGTAAAGTGGTGAAGGTTAAAATCTCACACTGAGCAGAAAATGTAAATATCCAGTATATGCAGGCTAAAAGAATTGAAATATTTTGATTTAATTTTAGATTTGTGTGTTTCCCTTTGTTTTGAGAAAGTAAGTATGATAATATGCAAATGCTTTAGATAATTTAGATTTAAAATAAGAACAAAAATCTCTATTAGCTTATTTAAAGTGCATGATTTCTAATTATATTACAGAAATCCTAATTCCATTGGCAGAGCATCTTTTTCATCTGCTGAAATTAAGGTCAAATACACTTATTTTAAAAAACATTTTACGTATTTTTAGATCAGTCTAAGCAGTGCATTTTAGTTTTTTAATTAAATTGCATTTTCTCTCAAAAGTTACTTCTATGTTGAATATAATAGGCCATAAAAATAACAATATGACATTTTATATTTTTCATGAACATTAGCAACTTTTTTCTCAAATATTGACAATTTTTGTAATACATCCCACTTTCTGTGACCCAAATCAAAAAAAGTTGCTCTGTTTAAAAGACTCCGATCACTGCATGGTGAGAGAAGCTGTGTTTTCTATGACATGTCTAGAAATTTTTAAAGCTGGAGATGTTACTTTTAAACTGATAGTGAGACTTAAAAAGATGACATATAGGCTGAGTGTATAAAATCATAGATAAACAAGTTAGATTTGGACTTTTTGGCCACCTTTAGGAAATCTACAGTAGAATTCAACACACTTTTATTGTTAAATATGGCTAATAATCACTAATCCTAGATGATATAAAAACAAATAAGAATGCCAACATGGTAGCCATACTCCTTTTAACTACAGCAAAACCTGCAAAGGCCAGACAGGCACATTTATCTTTACGAAGTACCCACCGCTGTGCTTCTTCTGTGACACAAACCCTGACACGGCAACCAAATTCTTAACCTAAATCCAAAAAACCTTACAGCAGTAATTGAGATAATCATGAGGATTTATTGGGGGTATTGACAGGAAGTGATGAGTGCTACATTCATACCTCCACCAGATGCAGATGAAGCTAGAGTCGTTTATTGTATTTATTTTAGCAGGTAAATTCCAGTAAAAGACAAAGTCTCATTTTCAAACTTAACCAGTTTAAGCTACCATTCAATATGTAATATGAATTTGTCACAACAACAAAAAATCTATTGATTTTAGTAGAATTTAACATTTCAAATCTTTACTAAATTCGTAAAAAGAACAAAAAATAAATAAATAGGATTTTTCTTTAGATACCAAAAGTTTGATGAAATCCAAGTTTTTTTTTTTTATGTGAGATGGAATAATATTTCCAATGAAAATATCTTTTCATGTTATCCTTGGTGGTTTTTTGTTGTCACATATGCTGATATACAATTAATCATTGATGGCCTCATCATTAAAGTCATAAAGGAATATGCAGATGTTTATTTTGCACATTAATTCTGCATGTTTATCAGTACAATAAAGATGCCTGCATATGTGTGATTTGTTAGAAGAGTAATTCAGGGTTAGGGATGTCTCAGAGTTTGCAGCTGCCATAATGACTTTTGGAAAAATCTATCCTTTTGGTCATGTGTCATGAAACAGGTTTGAATGCTGTGGACCAGATCTGGCTGAGTGTATGAAAATGGAAAGAATGCTGCATCCTTTTTTGGCTTAAGTTTGAAAAGAAAATGATTTACTTACAGATGAAAGTACAGTCGAGTATGACGTATCTCAGCTAAAGGAAACTCACAATTCATTTAACATATTCAAAAGTAAGTATCCATGTACAAAATTCAAATTTTCAATTCTTTTGTCTTTTAGCAGTTTGAAACTTTTAAGGTTTCTGTGTCAGTGTGTAAAATATTTATGGCACATTCCTTTTAAGGTAAGAAGTTAAAAGGTTAAGTAGCTCAGAGTTGAAAATCTGCTGAGATGCGGCTCCTGAAGAGCAGCTGTGAGATTGAGAGGCTGTAGACGTGGCTGACACGGTGAAGATCTGTTTGAGCCGCCTGTGATGTGACAGCTCTGATGCAAAACAACAGACGATGTTCCTCTGACGTGATCAGAGGAGCCCTGTCACCTTAACACGCAGGACCAGATGAACAAAGATGTTTGTAGATCAAAAAGACAAACATGGAATATCAAAAAAATTGACAGAAAAGAAAATCTGATTTTAAGAAATGCTGTAACATTTGAGGAAAAATAAGAAAATCTTATTCTACTGCAAGGCTAAACAGTCATTAGAGACATAAAATCAAAATGAGGCTGTTTCTTATTGTAATTTATAATTTACTGTAAGCTATCCTAAATAGCACTGCAAAAGTTGAAAATAAAAGTCATAAATCTAGTTATCTTAAAACTTTTACATTTCAGCTGTTTCCTGGCAAGTAACTACAGTAGTTCTATAAATGTTCATGTCTAAAATTGAGAAAGATGTAAAAAGGAGGAAACTGAGCCTGCAGCTGAAATATGCCAAAGTGTCAACGCATGGAGCACTGGAAACAGGAAACAAAAAATTTGTAGATTAGTACATGGGCGTAGGTTTGCACAGGGACCATAGGGACAAGTCCCTACCAAAACTTTGGACGGACCTACCTGTCCCTACCAATACTAATTCTTGCTTTAAGTTGGTCGCTCTGTGAACTAAAGACATCTTTTAGAGTCTCGATACTCCATAATGATCAATCGATTATTAAATTTGTTGACATTTCAATAATTGATTAATCCAATGAATTGTTTCAGCCATAAATAAAACATATGAAATGGGTTAAACAGAGTAACTACAGCCTAGATGTAGAGCTTGTAGAGTGAAGTTAATATATTAGATGCTCAGTGTCAGTTCCTCTTCTATTTCCAGTGCTCATGTAAATACAATACATTTATTTGGCGTCCCTTGAATCTATTATTTTTTTTTGTTTTAATGATACAAAGAGAACGTTCAAAAGATAAGAGTGGGTTTTACCTCTGTTTACCTCTGCACAATTCTATATCTTCAAAAAAAAGTATAAATCCACATATATTTAGACTATATTCTGTTAAATAGGCACAGATTTACCTACTGTCTTAGGTAATTTCAAATGCAAACCTTTTCAAAGTGGAATTTTGTCATAATTCCTCATTCATCAGAGCCAGTGATGCTTCAAACATTGATAAACAGCATCTAGTGTGTGTAGTGCTTATAAAATTTGTATAAATATAGCAAGAAATGCTGCTTTTCTCTTTAAACGAAATACACCCTGATTTTCATGTCAAGCGTAAAAAAAACGAGCATGCATATTTTTGCATAGGACCAATGACATCAGACCAACAGTGTCCCTACTACCAAAGTTGAAATCAAACCTACGCCCTTGGATTAATATGTCGACCTTCATGTTTAATCAAGAAGTTTGGAAATTAAACAAAATTTTATGAGTTTTAAGAGAAATTATGTATGTTTTTACTGAAAAATAGCATTTTGATTTGCTCCTTTATGACTAAAACATTGTTTGATGAGCAGATCCATAGATCCGTGTCAACCTATTTTACTGCCTTTAATTGGGGCTGGAAGTTAACGTCCTGTTCTGCGGATGTGATGTCAAGTGCGTCCATGTTGAATGTGTCTAATCCATTGGTCTAATCTAGCAAACAAAGCCTTATTTTCAAGATGGATTTCAGAAGTGACCAGCATCCAGCTCAACTCAGACAACAATGGCAACTCCAGGTAAGCTGAAAAAAGTCCCCAAAAAAAAGTTTATACTTGACAGAGACGAGCTAAGAAAATGAGGAGAAGAGTGCAGCAGCTTCATTGCTTTAGCCACAGGGGGCAGTATCATTA